TCCTCAAACACAGGTGGGTTGTCGTTGATGTCAGCTACAGATAACTCAACAGTTTTAGACGAGGACAGAGGTGGAGAGCCCTCGTCAGTGGCAGTGATTGTAATGTTGTAATCAGACACCACTTCACGGTCCAGTTGTCCTGTGGTCACGAGAGAATAATAGTTTTTAATCGAAGGAACCAACTTAAAAGGGACGTTCTGCTGGATGGAGCAGCGAACCTTTCGGTTCTTCTCAGAGTCTCTGTCCTGCACATTAATTATGCCCACCTCTGTACCAGGGGCCACGTTCTCAGGTATAGGGTTTGACCCGGATTTTAAATTTATCATAGGGGCATTATCATTCATATCAATAACATCTATCATAATCTTTGCATAAGATGCGAGTCCCAAACCATCTTTAGCTTCCACACTCATTTCAAATGATCGCCTTTCCTCATAGTCAATCACACCGGTAACTGTAATTTCTCCCGTTTTGGGGTCAATACCAAATACATTTACATCATCTTCAGAAACATGACCAAAGTCATATGTTACAGCTCCATTCACTCCTTCATCTGCATCAGTAGCACTAACTTTAATCACGATTGTATCTGGAGCAGAGTTTTCTGGCACAGTGGCTTTATAAACGTCCTGACTGAACACTGGGGCGTTATCGTTAGCATCCAGCACAGTCACGTGGATGACTACAGTACCTGATCTCTGAGGAGATCCTCCATCCAAAGCTGTAAGAAGTAAATCCATCTCTTTTTGCTTTTCTCGATCAAGCATATTCTCCAGAACCAGTTCAACCTTATTGCTGTCAACAGAGAGAATGAAGTTGTCGTTCTTTTGTAAAATGTATCTTTGGACAGCATTTTGACCGATATCTGCATCATGGGCCCCCTCAATTGAGAAGCGACTACCCTTGACTGCTGATTCCCGTATTTCCATTTCGATCAAATTCTTCCTGAATTTTGGAGAGTTATCGTTCACATCTTGAATATTAAGACTTACACGATGTAGCTCTAAAGGACTTTCTAAAATTAGATCTAGTTTTGAGAAACACGAAGGTTTATTTCCACAAAGGGTCTCTCTGTCGATTTTCTCAGATATAATCAAATCCCCGGTATTTATGTTAATGTCACAGTAACGTTTTCCAGTTCCCTCATTATCAAGACGGGCTTTCCGGGAAGATAAGGTCCTCAAATCAAGCCCAAGATCCTTGGCAATATTTCCAATGACAGAATCCCGTTTTAGTCCTTCTTCAAAAGAATAAGTTAGATCACAATGAACGAAACGAAATGTAACCATGAGGAAAACAAAGAAGAGGGTCGAACGAAGCGCTGGAAATCCTTTGTGTCCCATTTGGACTGGTAAATGTAAAAAGATTAAATTATTTGCACTGCCTTTTTTTGGGAAACAGTTGTTTCCACAAAGATGGCGATTTAACACGTAAAATGGTCACGGTCTTCAATCTCCGGAGATATAACCTGATCACCACCGAAGGTTCCTCTGCCTATGCAGCAGTGGGTGGTGAGATAGGTTCTCCACTTCTGTTGGTCACGAGCGACATCGTGAGTTACTTTTAATAATCACACATGAATTCATAGAAACTTTTTTTCAACAAATGAAATTTCAGGTTAAAATTCATTGTTCAGTATAATATCCTTTTTGATAAAGCCTCCGCGTTTGGCAATATGAAAGCTGTGGTTTCTGAGCACCCATGGACACTTGAATAAAATCTATTTTATATTTAGGAGCACCACGAAAACGTAATCTTTGTTCCTTTCCTCTTCAAGCAATTATGATTATTTAATTAAAATGAATAAAATAAACTGTGAACCGTTTCTGCATATCAAATCCAGGGAAACTTTTCAGATCTTAATATGCCACACTTGAAAGTTTAATGATAAAAATAACTATTAAATGCGTGGAATTAAGTCCAAGAATTTACTAATTTCATTACAAATGAAATTTTTAAAATGACAGAGTATCACAATGAGCCCCAAAAGCCACCTAAATCATTTCCATATGCACTTGAGAACCTCTGATGTCTTTCAGAACCATGGACAGATACGATGAAAAAAGGCCAAATGGAAGGACATGTTTAATCACTGTCCAGAGGAGCAAAGTTTCTCAAAAGGATCCTACTACCAAATAATAAAATTTCTAAAGTCTAAAATCAAGCTTTTACAAAGCAAAGTAAGAAGATTTGATTTTCAATTAATAAGCAAGGAAGCAGTTGATTTCCAGAAAACTGAGAACAACGTTGCATCACACACAAAATAGCGAATCTCAATAACCTCTTAGATACTATGCTTGATTATTCCAAGATTTAAGTAAGAAAAGATTTAAAGTAGCACACCTACTACCACTATGTGAAAAGTTAAGGTATTGAATATACAGTAATCACGTAAACCGCATAAGGAGTCGAACAAAAAAACTCTTGAAACGATCGAAAACATGGGAAAAATAAATATTTTTTCAGATAAACATCAACTTATTGCGGAGAGAAAATTCCAAAAATGCAAATTATTCCGAAAAAGACACGTGCAAGAATATATCCAATTATTACCCCTACCTCCTGAGATGTCTCCAAGTCTTCAAAGGGATCATCAAAGTCTGTTGGGCTTTTCTTCAAAGTCTGGTCAGCTGGTAGCGTGTTGTCATTGTAAGATGAAACAAACTTAAAGTCACTGGTTCTAGATCCTGTTGTCAGATACGCGTCATAATTGTAAGCACTGCGTAAAGTTCCTGTGCCGTCAACATCTGCGTAATTAGGAGGTAGATAAGCACTGGGGATGGCCACTGCTCCATCAAACAACAGTCTGGGCTTTCTCCTACGACAAAACCTCACACCCAGGATAATGATGATGAACGTGAGAAAGAAGGTGGACACAGACACCAGCGCGATGATCAGGTACGAGGTCAGTTTGGAGTTCTTCTCATCGTAAGAAATATCCTTCAGTTC